GTTGTTGGCAGTACCCGACAATCTCTCCTTGTGCCTTTTTTATTCTCACTTTAAAGGATAATTGTTATGGCCGGTGCCACGGCTCACTAGGCTAATCCTCCGCCTTGTGGCGCCAGCACACCGGGTTCTAGTCCCAGTCAGGGCACCGGATTCTGTCCCGGTTGCCCCTCTTCCAGGCCAGCTCTCTGCTGTGGCCAGGGAGTGCAGTGGAGGATAGCCCAAGTGCTTGGGCCCTGTACCCCATGGGAGACCAGGATAAGTACCTGGCTCCTGCCATCGGATCAGCGCGGTGTGCCGGCCGCTTGGAGGGTGAACCAATGGCAAAGGAAGACCTTTCTCTCTGTCTCTCTCTCACTGTCCACTCTGCCTGTCAAAAAAAAAAAAAAAAAAAAAGATAATTGTTATCCCACCTGAAACTTCCTTCATTAGTTTAGTCTCTTTTAGGATGATATCTAATAGGAATCATATAGTTTGACCGCTTTTGAGCCAGACTTACTTCATACAAGGTTTCATTTGTGAGTTTTGTCCATATTGTTAAAGTTGTAGATTGTTTCATATTTTGTTGCTTTATACTATTTGTCAACATTCTTAGTTATTCCTTGTCAGTTTAAAAGTGCAAACTATCATGGTGTTTAGTTTTTACTTACGATTTTTGATTTAAGGTGAAGCTGAACATGTTTTGCTGGTTTCACTGATTATTTATACTTGCTCTCCTGTGACATTGGTCATTTTTTGTTCTTTTCATTTGACACTTGTTGCTCTATTGTGAATAAATCTTTTGCCATGTCCCAAATGATAGGTCACATTGATCTTTAGTCACAAAAAAAGACCAGTGACTATTGTTTTTTCGCTGTCTTCAAAAGGCTAACAATAAAAACTGTGTTCTTGTGACAAAGTAACAAATTTCTCCGCTGGGACTCCTGTAGTCTCAAGGTCTTGATTCTTAGCAGAGAGAAAACGAATATGATGCATGGATTCCAGACTCGGAAAGTGGACTATCCACATGGTAGGTCAAAGCAATCTTGCAGCTATCATGCTGGGACATCTTGGTTTTTGCTACCTCATACTTTTTTGGGTCTTCTTTCAGCAACTGGTTTGTTTGAAACATGTGCTGCCCCAGGATACAAAGCTTCTCTCTACAGTTAAGACTAACATCTGAGTATGACTGAGCTCTTCAAATGAGTGTTTGTCAGCAGTTTTAGGCAACAAAAAAGAGCTAGTGAAATTTTTCATATTGAGGAGTATAATGTGAAGAAATGGAAGTACAGAAGCAAATAGTCTTTTGTAAACCAAACCTTCCTTATGTTCCAAAGAATTCTTTGGATTTCTGGACTGTAGTTCTGTCCATGTGAAACTTTGTAAACATCCTCGTTAGCCTTGTAAGAGAAGGTAGAAAAGTTCCAATGACACATTCTCCTTGGCATGCCAAAGGGATATAAGAGGCAATTGAAAGAGTTCCCAACATCCGAATCTTGAACACTTAGTGTAACAAAAAATAGAAAATACTATGGGATTATAACTAAATATGGAAGCATAGGCAAAACTGCCATTCTCAAGAATTCTGAATAATTTCTGTAGATATTCTCCACTTTTAAAGAGTAAGCTGAACATAGTGACTCCTTCCCAAAGAGTAGAGTATGGGAAGGGTGAAAGACACTACAGTGCAGATGCCTGGTAAACACCACCATAATGAGGTGATCAGTGTTAATATCAGGTGTCAAAATATGCATTGATAGTATGTAGCCTTGATAAGATATTTTGAGAATTCTGCTTTACCTCTGTGGTATGCCTCCCAAATGCTGTAACTATAGACTGCCCACGAGAAAAAGAGGGTGTCATGGAAAATACATGGCTAGTACTACTCACAATAGTCAATTCAAGATCTATTAAACTATGACAACCCAGAGGAGTCCATGGAGACATGATTATTAAAGTAACATGGTATTCTGGTGAGTTACTGGGGTACAGAAAGACATCAGGGTAAAAAATGTCTTTAGAGATATATTTTAAGAATGGCTACAGAGAATTACCATTGTGGCACAGCAGGGTAAGCCACAGCCTGCAATACCAACATCCCATATCTGAATGCCAGTTTGAGTCCCAGCTGTTCCATTTCTGACCGAGCTTCCTACTAATGTGCCTAGGAAAGCATTGGAAGATGGTCCAAGTGTCTGGGTCCTTGCCATCCACATAGAAGACCCAGATGGAGTTCCTGGCTCCTGGCTCCAATCTTATGCCTGGTCTAGCCTTAGCTATTGTGGCTATTTGGGGAAAGAACCAATGGATGGAATATTTCTTTGTCTCAGCCTGTGTGTCTATTTCTCTCTTTCTCTCATCACTTTGCATTTCAAATAAATAAAATTAATCTAAAAAAACCCAGAAAGAATCTTAGCTAATAAATCTAAGAGGCATAAGTTAGTGACATCCTCATTTATAAAATAATGAAACCCAAATAATGTATGGACATCATTAAATGTATCATGTAATTAAGTACTACATAGTACCCAAAATAGGTATAATGTTTATGTCTTTTAAAATTGTTTTCAATTAAAAATCCAAAAAATGAAAATGAGAAAGAATATGGATTTTGATAATACTGTGTTGACATTTGTTCATTACTTATGACAAATATACCATGACAATGTAAGATTTGACAAAGTTTCTTGGCTTAGCCAAACCTTAAGTCAAGCTTCTGAAACTTCTTCTCGGCCCATCTGTGCACATCATTGGAAAGACACGTCTTAGCAATCTGTTAAATCAGTTAAACAAGAACTCTTAACCCCAATATCTAATCACCCTCTACATCTGATCAAGTTCCTTATCCTTTACCAACCCTTAGGTGATGCCTGATCAGTCTGGCTGGTCTTCAGTAACACTCCTGTTAGGTCAGTTTAGTCAGAATCCCCCTTATCCCTGATGTTTCCTCTTAGTAATTTTCCATCCACTGCCTCCCACCCTGCTACGTGGCTATAAAACCGCATGCCCATGCTGTAGTTGGAGCTGAGCCCAGTCTCTCTACCTTACTGTGAGACCCCACTGCAATAGTCTCTATAGCTATTGCACAGCTACTAAATATGCTTTAGCAATTATCATTGGCTATCTTTTCTTTAATGGATATAACAATAGATAAAACTGAGTCTATGATATATGGGGAGTCTTTGTACAATCCACACAAGTTTTCTGCAAATCTAAAACTATTTTAAAATACAGAATTCATCAGAAAAATGCAAAGGAATAAAAAATAAAGATGTACAGAAGGAAGGAAGCAAGAAAGAAGGGAAGGAAAGGAGGTAAGGGAAGGGAGGGAGGCAGAGTGGAGGAGGAGAGAAAGGAAGAAAAAGGGAAAAAAGGGATAAACCTGAGCACCGGAAGCATCAGCTGGGGTCTTGTAAAAAATTCAAAATCTCATGTTCCAATCCATCCTCCTGAATCAGAAATTCTGTGGATGTACTAGTAGTCTGTGCTTTTGATCCTGTAATTAAGAGCCACTGATCTAGACGTTGGCCAAGCATTCTGCCTCCAGGTGCGTCTCATTTCAGATGAGGTCATGTTCCTTTTCCTTCAATGGCCAGGGGTGAGGAATCCCTTCAGGCCTCTGCAGCTTCTATTACCAAATTGTCACCTTTCACCGAGGAATGGGATGCCTGCCTCTCTTCTCATGTTATTAACATCTGATCTCCAGGGCCTTTCTCAGGCTCACTGTGCTCCATGTCTTCCACTTCACCAGCACACACAAATCTGTCCCCCGTACAATATTCCCAAACACATGATCATGTACCAAATTGCATGTTTCCCAGGCTACAAATCAAGGCAGAGTGTGAATTCTCTGGAGACAGAGTAAACTTGGACCACCAGATGGTGACTTGGGCACATTGTTTGGCCCTCTGTAGTTTGGCTTTTTTCTCTAGGATTTGGGGATGATAGAAGAGTATCTACCTCAATGTGGTTTTGTGAAAATTGTGACTTAATGCACATTGAGGTGTTAAAAATAGTATCCTGCACTTAACGAATATCCAATAAATACGAGCTGTTATTGGGTATGGTGGTTGTATTGCCTCTGAAATATCTTTCCATATATGGCCATACCACCCTGGACACATCTGATCTTGTCTGAAATATCCACTTTTCACAAAGTGGAAGAATGTTGTGTGGAGAATGACTTGATAAAGACTGGGGGAATTTGGGCCAGAGAAGAGTGTTGCATAGTGGATAAAGCCACCACCTTTGACACTAGCATCCTGTATGGTGCTGATTGGAGTACTCCATTTCTGATCCAACTGTCTGCTAATGGCTTTAAAAAGCAGCAGAAGATAGACCAAAAGTCTGTGCCCTTGCCGCCCACGTGGGACACCTGGGTGAAGCACCTGGCTTCAGCCTGGGCTAACCCATTGCTGTTGTCATCTGGGTAGTGAACCAGCAGATGGAAGATACTCTCTCTCTCTCTTTTCTCTCTCTCTCTCTCTCTCTTTCTCTCCCTCCCTCTCTCTGTAACTCTGACATTCAAGTAAATAAATAAATCTTTAAAAAAAAATATTACGGGAGACTAATGGGGGAACCAAGCCAATAAATTCCTATTGTGAGTCACTGAGCATCCCTCCCCGACCTCACACATAACCAGTCACCTTGATTTAGGTTTGGTATGTTGGAAATATTCCATGTTGGTTATGTAATACTTTTAGGATAAAGCTGGTGAATTAGAACCTGGGAGTAAATTAACCTTACATCATGCTCAACAAATAACACCACTTTAATTCTTATCTAAGATTATTCTAGTTCCAGTTCCAGAGATCCTTAGCAGTTTCTATTAGCCTGAGAAACAAGATTAGTCATAAAAAAAGTCAGTACTTCAGGGATTGTTGAAGCAGCAGGTGGGTAAGTGACTATGTTTGGATAACAGGTTCAGATTTTTGCTTATTTGCTCTTTGCCACAGGTTAAATAGAAATGCAGCATTTACATCTCATAAATACACAAGCCTTCAGTGTTCTGGTTTGCTTTCCAGATGGGAATTAGTGTGGTGGATTCTGCAGTATCCGGATTAGGAGGTTGCCCTTATGCAAAAGGTGCTTCTGGGAATGTTGCCACTGAGGATTTGGTCTATATGCTTAATGGCCTGGGGCTCAATACAGTAAGTTACTTTAAGATATTTTCATATTCATCCATTTCTTGCAACTGCAAATTGAAATGCTTCTCAGGTTTGACAACCAATTTTGAGGTCAAAGTTTTACAACACTTTTGCTTTTTTGCAAAAATGCACAGTGGGAAAATACAATAAAATTCTTTTGGGGACTTTATAAAGTAACTTATGGCTCAAGCACCAAAAATGTTGCCATTTTGCATTTTATAGCGTTTCATGAACTCCAAAGTACTTTTCAATGTATTATCTGTTTCAATTTCACAAGTTTTATGACGTAGATCTTGTGTCCTTACTGTGTTGATTGTTGAGTTGTTTGTTGTTGTTTTTGTTTTCCTATATGAATATTTTCCTTGGAGGAAACTGAGGTCCTAATTGTCACACAGAGACAACAAGGACTTCTGGAAAAACAAATCCCAGAGCACTTAAAAATGGTCAGGGGAAGAGTGTAGGGCAAGAATGATCTTGGGGACTAGCATTGTGGTGCAGTGGGTTATGTCACTACTTGTGACACCAGCATCCCATATCAGAGTCCCATAGCAGAGCCTCCTGCTAATGCACCTGGGAAGAGAGCAGAGGATACCTCAAGTACTTGGGCCCCTGCCACCTCTGTTTCTGGCTCCTGGCTTCAGCCTGGCTCAGCCCTGGTGATTGTAGCCATTTCAGGGAGTGAACTGGTGAATGGAAGATTCTCTCTCTTTCTGTCTCTCTTGCTTTTTCTCTTCCTTTCTTTGTCACTCTGCCTTTCAAATAAATAAAAAAAAAATCTTAAAAGAAGGAATAGTCTGTTTGCAAGTAGCACTGAAAATCACCTGCTGTATAATAACATCCCCCAAAGCCAATACCTTGTTTTGTCAAAAGCTTGATATAACCTATTAAACTATGGTTCAGAAGACTTTTAGGGAAAAATTACCTAAAGTAAGAAGACTGTCCTCAGATGACAAGACATTCAAAATGCTTTCTGAAATGTAAAATCATTATCCGAATTATAAAATAGCTTTATATCCCTCAGGACTTCTCCACCAAACTTTAGATTACTCCCCATTTCTGTAACATTCTAAACTGCACCCCTACTCATACTTTCACCATCACCTGAAATGACCTTATACCACCTACTCCCCTTTACATGAAAAGTGAGGCACATCATTTAGGTCATCTTCTGGTTTCCAGATCTGTCTATTCCTCAGGCCAAATTCTTAGCTTCCTGTCCTTAGTTCTATATCTTTACCTCTGAACTTATCACAAGGTTGTATCATGGTCTTGCTTACAAGATTCTCATAGCAGCACAGAGCAGTTATTATAATTTATTCATCCTCAGTGCCTGTGGCATACAGATGCTCAATAAATATTTATTGTAAGACTGATTTCATTTAGTGTTGAACACCAACAGCTGTTGCCTATAAACACCAAAAGCAATTGCCTATCGTCTCTGGTTAGGAATAAATATTATTTCATTTACAAAGTAGCTTAATTATTTTTCTCATAAGGCCATGGCAGAAACTGAGGAGAAACAGATCCTTTCTTGGAGAGTGTATTGTTAAATTATATCCACTGACAATTGATGCATAATATATGTTAGGTCCTATTCTAGGACTTTGAGATACAAATGCAAGTTAGTCTATTAGTAAGAATTTCACAATTCAAGGAAATTGTTACTTTGAATAGCTGCCACAATTCAATCAATTACCCTAGCTAAGAAACAGAATTGTTTATAATGTCTAATGGATTCACTATGTACCCCAGGCCCAATAAATTATGAAGAGCCACCAATTTGACTTCTAAAATATTTTGGTTTTAATCCCCTCCTTCCTGTCGTTATTATGACTGCATGAGTGCAGAGTCTTGTCTCTTTTCTGAATACCCATTCTCCACCTGTCAGCTCACTCCAGACTTACCTTTAAATTCATCCTTAATGGTACCATCAGAAGATTTCATCAGAAATACAAGTATGGGTATACCATGGTCCTGCTTGAATACTCATCAAGTCTTATTTCCTGAAAGGCAAATCTGTGTTCTGCCACAGAATCTGGACTGTTTACATGTTTCCATTATGAAAATCAGAGTGCCTTTTCTCCATGTATACCATGTTACTTTTGACCATCCTTCTCCATACATACCACGTGATTTTTTGGTTGTCTTGTGCTGTTTTTCTCTTCCCATGGTACACCACACATCCTCTTTCTCAAGGTCTCCAACTGTCAGTGTAACATGGGCCAGGATTTGCCTTCCCTGGCAGAAATGTTTTGCTCCTCTTCCCTGCTCAATGGATTGGTTGACCTTCACATCTGCTTCCATATTCATGTGAGCATATTGCTTTGCCTGACTTTAAACTGTATTGTAAAGTTTACACTTATGATCACATTGTCTATCTGATCATACACTCCCTAAAGGAGAAACCACATTGTACATTAGCCTCTTTTTTTTTTTTTTTGACAGGCAGAGTAGACAGTGAGAGAGAGAGACAGAGAGAAAGGTCTTCCTTTGCCGTTGGTTCACCCTCCAATGGCCGCCGCGGCTGGCATGTGGCGGCCAGCGCATCGCGCTGATCTGAAGCCAGGAGCCAGGTGCTTATCCTGGTCTCCCCATGGGGTACAGGGCCCAAGCACTTGGGCCATCCTCCACTGCACTCCCGGGCCACAGCAGAGAGCTGGCCTAGAAGAGGGGCAACCGGGACAGAATCCAGCGACCCGACAGGGACTAGAACCCGGTGTGCCGGCGCTGCAGGCAGAGTATTAGCCTAGTGAGCCGCTGCAGCGCCGGCCACATTAGCCTCTTGAAATCCAGAATGCATCACACAGTACATGAGATATATTTAAACACCTAACAAATGCGTTAAGAATAGGTGCAATATTTCATAATGGTATCTTAATGAAATAAAATGGTAGAGGACATAAAAAAATTCTGCTTTGGTACCATATCAACAACTTCAATCACATAATTTTTTTTCAATCACGTAATTTTTATGAGTGAAATTTTTATAAAGTGGAGAATGTTAATAACTAAGATCTTTCTATGAACCTTTGATGTAATACAGATGTGGAAGCCATGTGAAGCTAAGTGTTTACAAAGTATCATTGCATTGAGAATGTTAAACTAAGTCTGCCTAACAGTTAGTCCATCTAAAATCATTACCATGACAAAAATAAACTTCTTAAATAAAAGCAAATAGTACTCTGAAAATAATTTACAAGTGTCATTTCACAAATTATTCTTATTGATCATTCTGAAAGAGAGAAGTAAATACAAAAAGAACTGTGCTTTAAATGTATTCAGGGAGAAGTAATTTGCTATCCTTAAATGTCTCCTCTTTCTAAAAGAAAGATTATTATTACAGAAAGTCTCTATGAGTATTTTTCTTTGGCTATTTAAGGAAAAGTTAGAATTCCATAAATATTAAAAAATTACTTCTTAATATCAGGAAAGGCTGAATATATTGAATTTTAAGTCCATATTGTTTCTCATCCATGTGGAGGGAGGATGTAGGAACTTATGAAATACTCCACAAGGGCAAATTTGTGGCTAATCCTCCTAATTCTCTGACTCCCACTGTGACAGTGAAAGTGCTAGGTGGAGACTTCAGTGTAACCTTTCGTGACACCAAGATCCAGAGATGAGGAGCATGCCCTGAACTTGGCCTTCAGACCCAACTGTGTATCTGTCATCCATGGATTTACCTAAGCCTTTGTTGATCCTATTTATACTTTCAGACAGTACAACCCCACAGGCAAACAAGTTCCAGATGTATATTAAATACTCCTTCATTTTATTTGACTTAAGAACTATTTCTTTCAGTATCATATTAATAATAACATTTCCAAACATAAAAAGCGTGTATATGTATATGTCTGTGTGTATTTTGTTTATGCATTCAGCTTCTATACAATCTCTATGGCCTTATCAAGTTTGTTTATATAATGAAGAAATTTTCTTATTTATAAACCCCTCAAAGCCATTATCATTTTCATTGTCCTCCACTGATATTTTGTCAATTACTTTCTTATTCCATTATTGTCCTTCCTTGTCTTTAGATTTTAGCCTGAATTGCACTGAGTTATTCAGATATGTCCAGCCTGTATTTTTATAAAAGGGTAAAATTCAAGGTGTATTTTATAAAGCAGACAAATCTAAAATGTTGACTATATGATTCATGAAAACAAATGTTGCCCCCAAGTTGATAATGGGTGACATCTTGGTAATTTTAAGTAGTTAATAATATTAATGAAATTTAAAAGAATATGTTTTGTCTTTCTTCTCTCTAATCCCCTTCCTTCTTGTTACCCTCTCTTTTCCTTGCCAGGGTGTGAATCTTTACAAGGTGATGGAAGCTGGTGACTTTATTTGCAAAGCTGTGAATAAAACCACAAACTCTAAAGTAGCACAAGCCCTCTTCAATGCTTGACTGGATTTATTTATGACTTATGGTTGAGAAGATCCCTTTCAGCTAAATATAGTCATCTGAAAATCATTAATGTCAACCTGTTCTGAAATGTGAAGTAATAGACAAGAGTGGGAAAAAAAGAGATGCTTGATAAAAAAAACATTACAATTGGAGAGATTATAAAGTCAACAGAGGGCAGTATCAGTCATCAGGTAAATTGCAAGCTGGAGATAAATAATAAAACTTGTACTCATCTATGTGAATACAGAAGGGAGTCTACTCCTTTGGTCTTATAGAAATGACTTTTAATTTAGTAGACGTGAAAATTGACTTCAGGTTTCCCTAAGTATCAAATACTGTGTTGATTCTTAATCGAAATGGCTTAGCACAGTGTACACATTGTCAGTAGTTTATGAGCTCCTGCACAGTGTGCATAGTGTGTGGCCTCCATATTATGCCTAATGCCTCTGGATCTCAACTTTCCATTTGCCAAGTCAGTTAAGTTATGGACCAACAGCCAAATCTCCATCTGACCCTACATAATTTTTAGCAATAGAATTTTTAATATTTCAAATATGGCTAACATCTGTTAACTATTTCAATGACTTTATCTGGTTCCAAGAGGCTGTGGTCAATGGCAAGATGCCATAATCTGGAAACATATTACAACCTTCCATGTTTGTTACATACACCCAGTTTACTATACTTTCCCTTTTATCAGTTACACTGAAAACCAGCTCAGTATCATTCAACTATTGAGAAATTATAAGGTATGACTTTGGTTCTGATGTCTATGTTGCCTTGATGATACTAGGTTAAATATGTACCATAATCTACTTTTGTAATTTTCAAGTCGCTTACAAATTGCTAAAGGAAATATCATTGTGATCCTGACTATGAATATAATTGTTGATTCAGGAAATAAGCTGTCTTCCATTGATTTGAGTTATTTTGAATATATCATATGATTTTTGGTTGACTTATTTAATAGTTGTTTTTAAAGTTTAAGTGGTTGATCTTTTGTCTATTATTTTAGAAAGAATTGCCAGAAATAGCAAAAGTTAATATATCAAAGATTGAAAGAGATGACCAGAAGGATCATGTCAAGAAAAAATACTTCTGTAACCTACACAAATGATATGAGGACAGTATTACTACAAGTGGGTCTAAAATGTTAGTTTTATTATCTATGGAGACTACTACAATAATGTCAGCTGATCTTATTTGAATCACTTTGAATTTAAATTGAAATATGAAAGTTAGTATTGTGGATTTCCTAAGAAATGTTCATTAAAACCACTGAAATAAAAAAGAAAATCAAGAAAACAGGAGAATTTCTGATTGCAACTGAATTATCTTTAAAGATATATAGTAGGTGTCAACATTGTGGCATAGATGGTTAAATCACTATTTGCCATGCTGGCATCCCACACCAGAGTGTAGATTTCAGTGTTGGTTCAAGTGCTCAAGTCCTAGCTAAATTCTGCTTTAAATCCAGCTTCCTGCTGATGTGTCTGGGAGGGTAGCAGATGATAGTGCAAGTACTAGGCCCCTGCCACCTGTGTGGGAGACCCAAAACTAGGAGGCTGATTTTGGCCTGGCCCAGCCTTGGCTATTGGAGGTATTTTGGGAGAGTGAATCAGCAGATGGAAGACTGCTGTCCATGTCTCTCCTTTTCTTTCTGATGCTCTGCCTTATAAATAAATAAACAAACAAATAAATAAATAAGTTTTAAAAATATACAGAATAATAAAGAACCGCAACAGATACATACTGGTAATTAATAAAACCATACTAAATTCCCTTGGAAGACGTCAACTTATTACCTTGTGACATGGTTTTGGAGCAGCAGCTATAACAGCATGCTTGTCTACAGAGAATGGTGAAAGCAAATCTCTGTTTAGGGGGAAAGGGAACAGTGTCGTCAGCTGACAAAATTGTTGTGTGTATCTTCCTAAATTATATTGCCCATGTACATCTGTCTTAATGAAGTCATCATGCTTAAACACTTGAGCAGTAACAGGGCACACACACTAGTTGTGTACGGCAGGTATGCCGCATTTTTTGAGAACACTACATTTTCTGTCAGAGCTGTGGAGTTCCTAGTTTTAACACTTTAGAAAAACATCTGTTGATGCAAACTGCTTATAGAAACAGTTAATGAATGCAAATGAAATGCAGAGACAGTAGTCAGAAACCCCAGATGCACTGTGCTACAGTTACCCTCCTTGCTCATCAGTCCACCCATTCACCTAGAGGAATACCTTAATGATGCCTAATCATGTCTACCACAAGAAAGCTTGTGGCTTTGGTATTGGTATCCTTTCTCTACCTAAACCATCTAAATCTCAATGCTAGCTTAAAAAGTGTTCCTTTCTGGCTTGGAGAGGGGTTGGGGACGGGCAATCACATAAAGCTGTCTGGAGTCTATAGGCTGAATTCCCTCAAAGTTATCTTTTAAGTGAACAAGCCTTGGAGTCATTGCGGTAACTACATGAACATTACCTACCAACACACACACACATATTGACATCAGATTTATCCTTGGTAGGGCTTAGAAATACCAAACAATTACAAACTTTATTGAAATTCTAATCAAATTAGTCATTTATAACTTCTGCCATTAAGTAAACAAAATATCTCTTCCACATCCTAAACCCTATGATGCATATTTTCACATGTAAGGGTTGCTGTCTTACTGCAGACAAAGACTTTAAAACTAAAATATCTGAAAATTAAATTATCTAAATACCAGATTAATGAACTTCAAAGAAAAGAAAATGGAAGCGTTTATAACTCTGGGAAAATTCAGAATACCTTGTCTATGTTATTTATTCTCATCACACCATTTAATAAATTATCCCTTGAACTGTCTTTATATAGCTATTTATTTCTATAGATATGCATCCTCTATCTTCTAAAGGATTAACTTCAAATGTAAGATGCAGAAGATTATTTGGCATTGAATAAGTAAGTCACAAAATACTAACCCTATCAAATCTCATCCATATTGTCAAGAAGAAATTAAACTAAGCACTGGGAACCAGTTAGCAATTTGAATTGAAATAATAGGCAAGTGAAAGATTGCAATATGCCAGTGATCATTTTGCTTTCATGGGCTAGAAGAAACAGGGTCAGTGCTTGAATGGGACCTAAAAATTAGAAGAATATTTTTGAAGACATAAAAATATGAGGGGAGCCATGGAGCAAGTGAAAGAGGTTGGGAAGAAGAATGTAGAAACAGAGACAGAGGAGGAGGTTGGAACGGAAAAAGAGAGAAGGGGAGAGTGAAAATGAGAGGGATGTTGTGGTGAGAAACTATAGTTCTTGTCCTGAAGAGTTGTGATAGTGTATCAGTTAAGCCATTTTAAATTGCAAGTAACAAATCCCAATAGATTTAAGTGATAATAGAAAATTCCCTCATATAACAAATATTTTAGAAATAGTACTTTCCCACCATCTTTTAATGCAGTGACTCAACATGTTGCAGGTAAATAGATGTTACCAGATTTCCTGCTTTTCTAGCCTTAAAATGTTGCTTACCTCTGCCTCTTGATCTTTATAGTTTCAAGTCTATTGCAGCACTTCTAGGCCCCACATTTCTCCCAGCACTGTTTTAATCTATCTTCAGACTTGCTCTTTTATTTCATGGATCAGAATATCATCCTACGCCCTTTTACATAAACTGTTATCCATAGGAGAACAAATCACTAGGATAGACTACATACGGTCAAGGGTAACCTAGGGAAAATCAGAGATAAAACCTTGATAGAATAGGATCTATGATGAGACAAGGAGGAATGGAAAGCAAGTAAGTTAACAAAGCTAAAGGCAGCCTGTATCCAACTGTTCTGGGACAGGAGAAAACATGGAAATGGAAACTTCTTAATCTGAAGGGCGTAAGTTTTAATATGGAAGTCGTGGTTCCTGCTATGTTTAAGGAGGTATTCAGGCAGTATAGATTGAGGTTGAGGGAGGGCTTGCAACAAATGATGACGTGGAAGCTTTGTGTTTCCAAAGTACTTTGTCCTAGCTTCCTCTTCATGCATTTCACTCTGACCTGATGGCCAGCCCTCCAGAACAAGGCAGACTCAGATCCATTTCATGTCCTTTACCTTAGTTATTTTGCCTTCCTGAAATGCTCATACCCCAATGATTTTTTCCGGGCATGTTTTCTTCTGGACTTTGTGTCAGTGTATATTTTACTTCCTCGAAGAAGTCTTTCTGGCCACATCAGTCTAAAGTATGTCTTCCATTAGTTTTTGTCAAATTAACTTGGTTAAGTGTAATTTTTATTGGGTTTTTAACTTCTTCTTTGTTTATTTAGTTGTTTATTTTTTCTTTATTTCCCCAACATAATGTAATCTCCACGAGAGCAAGGGCTTTGCTGTATTTTTCACTCTTATTTCCTCTGTGCCCAAAACATAGCCCTAGGGCCTCTAATTTCTAGCTGGAGTGAAGGGTAGATGTAGCTTTAATTCAGGGCCATGCATTGTGGTGCCGTGGGTTAACCCACTGCTTGAGATGCTGGCATCTCATGTCAGAGCACCACGTTCACTCATGGAGTGATACAGTTTTCTGGTAATGTTCTTGGGATGGCAGTAGAAAATGGCCCAAATGCTTGAGGCCCTGACACTCATGTGGGAAACCAGGATGGAGTTCCTGATTCCTAGCTTCTGCCTGGCCCAGCCCTGGTTTTTGTGTCCAGCTGGGGGGTGAATCAATGAATGGAAGATCTCTCCCTTTCTCTCTGTTATCCTGACTTTCAATAAATAAATAATCAATTAAATAAACAAGTCTTTGATTAAAAAATAGCTTTTTTTCAGACATTTGGGAATTTATGGAAGGAACCCATTCCTTCGGAATCTGTCTTAGGTGTTTTAAATATATATACTTCTTGAGCCCTTAATAGTTTTCTTAGGGTTTGTTTGTTCCAAACACTTTGGGAGTAAATGTTTATGCAAAGTCACTAAAATATATGTTGAATGGTTAAATTAAAGGATTACTATACATATGCATCAAATATATTGTCATGAAATATTAAAGAAACAAAAATTACTACAGAAGCATATATCTATTAAACAGTAAACAAACATAAGTGAAGCTGCTAGAATTGATTACAACAAATTGACATTATTAATAAAAATAAAAGCCTTCCTAAAGTGGAGAAGACTTAATAGCTATACAGAGCAACTAAGAAGCTTGCTATAGGCATCAAAGAGTGCATGCAATTCCTTTCTGTTTCTCGGTATCTGTCATACACACATACTAGACATGCACACACACACAGAGAAATATGCATAATGTACAATCCCATTTATGGCCAGTAAAAACTCAGGGTTTTAGTCTATTTTATGTTGCTATCATAGAATGTCTTACACTGCACAATTTACAAGGAACAGAGACTTATTTCTTACAGTTCTGGAGGTTGGGAAATCCAAGGTCATGAGGTCCACATCTGGCAAGAGCCTTATTGCTGACTCATCCCATGTCAGAAGGTGGAAGAGAAAGGGAACACACGCTTGAGAGCACAAGAGATTGAACTCTCATCCTCAAGCCCTTTTATAATCTGAGTTAATCCAACACCTCATATTAGGCCCCATCTGCCAACACTGCTGCATTTGTAACGAGGTTTCTAACACACAAAGTTTGGGGAGCAAATTAAATCCATAGCATTATGCTATTAGCTCCCCAAGTCCATGCTCCTTCCACATGCAGAATATGCTCATTCCATTTGAGTAACCCCCAAAATCCTCATTTGTTCCAGTGTCAATTTAGAAGTCCAAAATTCAGGGTCATATCAGAATCAGCTATGATAAGACTGATTCCAATGAATACTGCCCAAATCAAAACTTCCAAAATGCAACAATGGGACAGGCATAAGACAGATGTCCTCATTGCAAATGGGGAAACGGGATACTATTAAAAGAGGTAACTGATCCAAAGTAAGCCCAAAATCCAACAGGGAAAGCAGCATTAAACCTTAAACCAGCAGAATGATCTTTTACTCTATGTAAAACCTGAAAAACATTCAGGAGTGGGATGCCCAAAGTCCCAGGTAGCCCTGCCACTGACTTTGCTGGATTCACCATACACAGTAGTTCTTATAGATTGGAGTCTCATGCTTGAAGCTCTCCAAAGTTGGTGTTGTGTGATGGTAGCATTATAATTCTAGGATTTTTGGAATGGCTACACTTCTGTGGTTGCACTAGGAATTGCACTAATGAAGATTTTCTGTGATCCCTGCCCTATGCAATGTTTCTGCCTGAGCCCCCAGACTTTTCAATGCATTCTTGGAAATCTAGATGGAGAATGATATGGCTTCATAGTCCTAATATAACCACCTGTAAGATTAACATTGCATAGATTCTGCCAAAATTTACAGCTGTACCTGTCAAAATAGTGGCCTTACCTGCACTTATGGCTTCTTAAGCCAAGGTAGACAATGAGTTCTAAACCAACATTTGGTGAATTCAGACCTGAGATGACAAATATGGAGATCTCATATGTGCCTCTCTAGAAATCTTTCCATCAAAGTCCAAGATTTCTTCAAAGATCTCTAGTATTCCTTTGAGATGTTGTTGTTGACTAGCACCTGCATGCCTTCTTTTTAAATGTTTTTATTTATATAAGGGGAAAAAATTTTATGTATTTCATATATACAGATTTAAGAACATAATGATACCTCCTACCCATTCGCTCACCCTCCCTCCTCCTTCCTTTCTTATTCTTTTATTTAATTTTTACGATGACATACTTTCAGCTTATATTATAACAAACTTAACCCTCCACTAAATAAAGCATTCAACCAGTAGTAAGTAGAAAAATCACTGTTCCTCAAGAGTATAGACAGGACTATAAATAATAAATCCCAAAATGGATGCCTTCTCTCTGCACTGATCTCTTTTGTAAGAAAATTTTATTTAATAAATACAAATTTTAAAAGCACAACTTTTGGATTATAGCAGTTTTCCTCCCCATAACCACCCTCCTACCCACAAACCATCCCATCTCCTACTCCATCTCCCATCCCATTCTTCATTAAGATTCATTTTCAATTATCTTTATATACAGAAGATCAACTTAGTATATACTAAGTAAAGATTTCAACAGTTTGCACCCACACAGAAACACAAAATGTAAAGTACTGTTTGAGTACTAGTTATGGCATTAATTCACATTGTACAACACATTAAGGACAGAGGTCCTACATGGGGAATAAGTGCACAGTGACTCCTCTTGTTGACTTAACAATTGACACTCTTGTTTATGGCATCAGTAATCACCTGAGGCTCTTGTCATGAGTCACCAAGGCTGTGGAAGCCTTTTGAGTTTGCCAACTCCGTTCTTGTCTACACAAGGTCATAGTCAAAGTAGAAGTTCTCTCCTCCCTTCAGAGAAAGGTACCTCCTTCTTTGATGGCCCGTTCTTTCCACTGGGATCTCACTCACAGAAATCTTTCATTTAGGTCATTTTTTTGCCACAGTGTCTTGGCTTTCCATGCCTGAGACACTCTCTTGGCTTTTTAGCCAGATCCAAATGCCTTAAGGGCTGATTCTGAGGCCAGAGTGCAGTTTAGGACATCTGCCATTCTATGAGTCTGCTGTGTATCCCACTTCCCATGTTGGATCCTTCTCACCTTTTTAATTCTATCAATTATTATTAGTAGACACTGGTCTTATTTATGTGATCCCTTTGACACTTAATCCTATCATTATGATCAATTATGAATTTAAACTGCTCACTTTAACTAGTAAGATGGCATTGGTATATGCCAACTTAATGGGATTTGGAGTCCCATGGCATGTTTCTAGCTCTACCAATAGGGGTAAGTCCGAGTGAGTGTTTGCTGAACTGTACATCTCCTCCCTCTCTTATTCCTACTCTTTTATTTAACAGGGATCATTTTTCAGTTAAATTTAACCACCTAAGCATAATTGTGTGTTAATTAAAGAGTTCAACCAATGGTATTAAATAGAAAAAGAAAATACTAAACAGTATAAAATAGTAAGTTGTTCCTCGACAGTCAAGACAAGGGCTGATCAAGTCATTGTTTCTAATAGTGTCCATTTCACTTCTACGGGTTTCCTTTTAGCTACTCAATTAGTTGTTACAGATCGGGGAGAACATATGATATTTGTCCCTTTGGGACTGGCTTATTTCACTCAGCATGATGTTTTCCAGATTCCTCCATTTTGTTGCAAATGACCAGATCTCATTTTTTTTTTACAGCTGTGTAGTATTCTGTAGAGTACATATCCCATAATTTCTTTATTCAGTCTTCTGTTGAGGGGCATTTAGATTGATTCCATGTCTTAGCTATTGTGAATTGAGCTGCAATAAACATTAAGATGCAGATAGCTTTTATATTTGTCAATTTAATTTTGGGTAAATTCCGAGGAGTGGGATTGCTGCATCATGTGGTAGGGCTATATTCGGATTTCTTTCTTTCTTTCTTTCTTCCTTTCTTTTTTTTTTTTTTTTTTTTTTTTTTTGACAGGCAGAGTTAGACAGTGAGAGAGAGACAGACAGAGAGAAAGGTCTTCCTTCCGTTGGTTCACCCCCTAAATGGCTGCTACGGCCAGCGCACTGCGCCTATCCGAAGCCAGGAGCCAGGTGCTTACTCCTGGTCTCCCATGTGGGTGTAGGGCTCAAGGACATGGGCCATCCTCCACTGCCTTCCCAGGCCACAGCAGAGAGCTGGATTGGAAGAGGAGCAACCGGGACAGAATCCAGTACCCCAACAGGGACTAGAACCTGGAGTGCTGGCACCACAGGCGGGGAGGATTAGCCTAGTGAGCCATGGCCTTAATTCGGATTTCTAAGGAATCTCCAAACTGTCTTTTGTAGTGGCTTTACCAGTTTTCATTCCTGCCAAGAGTGGATTAGTGTGCCTATTGTCCCTCATCCTCACCAGCATCTATTGTTAGTTATTTCTGTATGTAAGCCATTTCTAACTGGGGTGAAGTGAAACCTCATTTGTTTTTTGATTTGCATTTCCCTGATGGCTGGTGATCCTGAACATTTATTCATTTGTCCTTTGGCCATTTGGATTTTCTCTTTTGAAAAATGTCTATTGAGGTCCTTGGTCCATCTCTCAAGCGGGTTGTTTGTTTTGTTGTTGTAGAATTTCTTGATCTCTTTGTAGTTTCTTATTATTAATCCTTTATCAGTTGCATAGTTTGCAAATATTTTTTCCCATTCTGTCGGTTGCCTCTTCACTTTCCTGACTTTTTTTTTTTTTGTCTCCACTAATATCTTAAGCAAATGGTATCTTTTTGACACCCTTGTTTTGCTCTCCTAAGATAACCTTTTTACTCTTTTCATGTCCAGGCTGCACATTTTCCAAATTTTTTTCATTGCTTCTTTTTAACTGTAAATTTAGTCTTCATATCTTGTTTGTATTATTCCATCTTACAACATATACTTTAAAGTTGATATGCAGTCTCATCAATATTTTGCTTGGAAATTTTATCTGCTAGATATCATAGTTCATCCCCATTGCATAAGGATCTGGAAAATGTACATAATTTTACCAAGTTCTTTGCAACAGTGTAATAAGTGTGCATTTTTCTCCATTCTCTATCCCTTATTCCAAAATGCCATTTGAGACCTTATTAGAATAGCCTTTATTCTCCACATTTCTACCACCATTCTAACACAACCATCCAAGTAATTGCTAAGAAATTTTAGCTTTCGTTCATACAGGAATCACTCTTAATGCTCCGTTCATAACAACCTATGACCTTATTAGCCTTTTTCTTCTATTACCCAGTTTCACACTGCTTCCACATTGCCAGTATTTGCTATAACAGTGTTTTCATTTCTCAGTACTCTCTTCTGTTTCTATTAGTTTTGTATTGCTGTAATCTGAGATGTGTTTAATTATAAAATTATAGATTTATTTCTTATAGTTCTGGAGGCTGGGAAGTCTGAAATCAAGGAGCTCACATCTAACCATGACCTCCTTACCACCCTGGAAGAAAATTGAAGGGAAGTGATGTGTAAGGAGAACAAGCAATTGAACTCACAGGCTCCTTCCCTTTGACAACCAGCATTTATAATGAGGGTGACACCTACTATTATTAGGCCCTACCTCCTGACAATGTTACATTGTGGTGGGGGTAGTTTCCAGCACATGAGCTTTGGGGAACACATTCAAACAACAGCACTTGATTCCCTCTTCAGACTTTCTGTAACTTGTCTATTTTCTAACCAAGGAACCAGTACTGAATTGCCTATTAGAAAATCAACTGCATGTGTCATCTAGGAAAAGCAAACCTGTTATACCAACTGGCATCAAAATGAATAGGAGATAAAAACATTTCATATTGATTTGACATTTAGGCTTCATTAATTCAATATTCCTTCAGTAATGCTCATTTAAAGTTATTTAAGAATCAAATCTTTGGATAGGTATAACCGTCAGTTCTCTGTGGCAGACACATAAGCAAATTCTATGGTCTCAAGTCAGGCTGTTCAAATTGATTCATCAGTGAAGCAGAAAGAGGAGAATTAACAACACCAATATGTTGGGTTCACTTCTAGAGCTCCTGATTTAACTGACATGAAATATGCTTTAAACATCAGCATTTTAAAATGATAAAATACATGAGTATGCACTTTATTATTTTTTTAAATTGCTATTTTTAATTTTACACACACACACACACACAAAACCAGTCTCCTGTGAAGCCTTACTCAAAAATCTCTACTGAAGAACAGTGGTTTTTATTTATTTTATTTTACTTTTTTTTTTAAAGATTTGTGTTTATTTTTCAAAGATTTATTTATCTATTTGAAAGAGTTACACAGAGAGAAGGAGAGGCAGAGAGAGAGGTCATTCATCCACTGGTTCACTCTCCAACTAGCTGCAACAGAACTGTGAGGATCCAAAGCCAGGAGCCAGGAGGTTCTTCTGGGTCTCCCACATGGGTGCAGGCGCCCAAGGACTTGAGGTATCTTCTACTGTTTTCTCAGGCCACAGCAGAGACCTGGATCAGAAATGGAGCAGCCAGGACTTGAACTGGAGCCCGTAAGGGATGCCGGCACTGCAGGCAGCAGCTTTACCCACTAAGCCACAGCTTCGGCCCCAAGAATAGTGGTTTTTAAAGTGTGATCCCATGACCAGAGGGATCAGGGCCTGCTTTGCCCAGTAGCTTCATCCAGGTTAAATTGGATTATCTGAGGGTCAGTTCATAAAATCTAAATTACAGATGTGTAATTGGATAAGGAGACAAACAGAAGATTCAATTTATTGCATTCCTGACATCCAAACAACAAAGCATCCTATCAGGCTAGTATCCATACACACCAAACAGCAATATCATTTCTCATTTCCAATGTGAATAGGAATTCCAAGGGAGAGGTGGAATACGCATAACAAATGTCAATATCTCCTGCCATATGCCTCCTCTTGGCTCTGTTTTGCAGCTTTACAAGGTGTGAGAGTCATGTGAATAGGCTCATCACCAGGATTCTTCCAGGAAGCTTGGATCTCAGAAAAATTTCACCAGATTCAATACATGGTATACCTCAAACTTACTATAAATGTAAAAGCAAATTAAATCTTCCCTTAATGGAAGATTTAAAATAATGCATCCATGGAGGGAAGGGAAAATTGTCACCAAATAATTTTGCCCTAGTGAGAAAGGAGGTACATTGGACTTAATGTATGTTCATCAATCCTTTGGCTTCTTTGGCACCATCTGATCTTAGACTCTGGAGGCAGACACTTGGGTTTTGAGTCTTGGCTCTATTACTCAATGACTATACAAACTTGTTCAATTTTCCTAATGCCCTTAAAACTCACTTTAATCCCTATTTCCTTTACCTGTAAAATTTAGATAGTAATAGCCCTTATTTATACAGCTGTTGAAGGGATTTCATAAAATAATGTTTACAACCATTTGGCAAAATGCCTGGCACTTAGTAAGTGATCAATAAATGCTAGCTATCATCATTTTTATTATCCCTTCCCATGGCACTGCCCTGGAGTGGAACTTCTCCATTATAAAGTTGTTTAACTCTCAGGGAGATTCTTGTAAAAGATTATCCTTTATTCTGTTCCATGCAAAGGGAGTGTTGTCTGAAAGGGCCTTCCCTAATCTCAAAAGAAGACAGCTGATTATCAAATCCCAGAGCATGTAGTTTTAAACTGGTGTCAGCGTCCCACCCTTTCCCTTTCAGGCTATATCACTGAGCTCTGCATTCTGGGTCAATTATTTTCTGTGTTTTATATGATTGTAATTTATCGTAGGAACTTATGAGACTTTTGTTAAGTAAACTTACCTATGGAATATCACAGGAAGCTCAGTATCCTTATCCTACCTCCCTCAAAGTCAGAAATTTCACTATATTATGAATTCGCCCTACTGTATTGAAAGTTGGACATCAGAGCAAGTGGATCTGTTGCCATATTATTAACCAGTATATATTTTGTCAGTTATTTAGGTATGTAGACTTCTACTTTCTCCCTGTTCTACATGGTTCTATTATAAACTTTGAGTGATGAGTTAAAAAACACTATTCTTTATTTCCATGGGAAAAAATGTCTCACTGGACCTAATTCATAGTATCAGGCTTCGTAAAAGGCTTATGCCCTTCTAATAATAGAGAGGAAATACTTCAGAAATTACAAAGACTGTTTAATCTGTACTTTTTTTAAAAAAAAATATTCATTTATTTACTTGAAAGGCAGTAAGAAAGCAAGAGCAAGAAAGAGAGATCTTCCATCCATCGGTCACTTCCCAAATTTCCACAATGGCTGGAACTTTGCCAAGCTGAAGCGAGGAGCCAGAAACTCCATCCAGTTTCCCACATGGGTGGCAGGGGCCCAAGTACCTGGACCATGATCCATTGCTTTCCCAGGGGCATTAGCATGGAGCTGGACTGGAAGTGGAAGATCTGAGACAGAAACCAGAGCTCACTGGGATGCTGGCAATGTAAGCAGAATCTTAAATTTCTGTGCCACAATATGGGCCCTGGGCTTTACTCTCTCCAGCTAGTACTTAAAGTCCTTGTCATTAGTAAAGTAGATCAACATATCACAGACAGCAAATTCATTATCCTAAATGTATGAGTCCTGAAAAGATGGTTTCCTTTATCAGCAGTTTTTCACAGAAACCTCTATCTGTATTTGAATTCCAGTGTATTAGATTACTGGGCATACATTCTTGAAGTGTTCTGAGAAACCCATGGCATTACAAGGAAACACTGTCTTTCCTAGGATATTCTTTCAGATGGAACTGGATCATCTGGGAGTCAGCTCACAAAATTCATTTAGCAAATGTTTGTGTAATCTAAAGGTGAAGGAAAGCAGTGGTCTACCAAATGTCTTGTTCTTTTACATAAGTGTGTCTACATTTAGCATATTCCGCAATGGTCTAACAAGACATTCCTATGACTCTGCATCTATCACCATGGTCTAACACAAGATATTCCTGACTCTAAGAGTCTACCCAGATGGTGAG